ATATACGTATAAACAAAAATAAAATAAAAAAATTTCAATATAAGTCTTACTGCAGCAGAGACATGTACTCACTGACTGTCTGAAGGCCAGCTGGTAGATGTTTCTCGCGAACATGGAGCTGGCTGAGAGGATGGAGGAGTCTGCAGATGACATGACAGCTGCAGAGACTGCCCCCAAACCAAAAAACGAAACAAACGGGGGACAAAGATGCTGGAGCACGATGGGGAGAATCATGTCTGCTTCATCGTTCTCTTTAGGAGAAGTGGAGCCATAACTGGTCTGGTTCCAGTCTGAAGAATGTGGAGAAAAATCAGTCAACGTTAGACTTTCAAAAGTCCTTTTATCTTTGTTCCTAACAAAAGACACATTAACTCTTCACAAACGAGAACGRCGGTCAAACTATCTCAGGGTTTACGCCAAATAAATACTGTATATATAATTGTGTTTTCATTACTTCAATTTGAAATTTGATGCCTACAAATCTGGAGATCACAGCACTAATTTGGTCCCTTGCCTCCTTCTAATGTAATATTTACAAACCAACGAGGTTATTAAGCGGATTGCTGCTTCATTATGGATGAGCTGAACCAGCTGCTATTTACCAGGCTCTCTCAGATCTAAGGGCAACAAGGACCCATCCAGAGGCTTCCCCCCAAAACAAACACACACACACACACACACACGCACAGAATGTTTGCACACGTGTCTCGTACCTGTGGAGGCCCCGATGGCCCCGATGAGAACGGACGGCACGGCCATGACGAGGCACCCGAACGCAGCCAGGAAGGAGAGGACCTGTGCGTAGGTGGCCGAGGAGGCTGAGAGCACCCTTTGGAAATAAACTTGCCAGGGAATTCCTCCCAGCATCTGTAGCAAAAATAAACACCTTTTTTTTTAAACTACAGTCTTTAAAGCAAGAAACACTTTGTTTCCAAACGCCAAACTAATTTTTGAATAGGACTAAGATTAGTAGTTCTTTGGGTTTTGGAAAGCTTTTTCAAAGTTTTCCTTTGATTTGGAAGCTTTTCTTCATTACCACCCATTTTATTCGGATAAAATTTTTAAACTCAAAGAAAGAGGCAGCATRATGTTAAGACAAAACAGACAATTTAGCATTTCACTTAAATGATCTGGATAAGATAAAATGTTGAACAAAAACAAATAAAGAAACGTCCGGATAAAAATCAGGACCAAAGTAAGTAGGGGTCTCTGTAGTACAGTGGGTATTTTTGTCTGTGTGGGCGGAGTTTATCCAAGTTTGTTGGAGTGGGCGGAGTTTGGCAAAACTTTAATTGGTCAGGTTGACTTATCTTGTGAGGCAAGTTAATCAATGAAGTAATGGTAATAGTAAAATTATTATGAACATGTAAATAACTTCAATATTGGTGAAACTAGAACCTTCCTGTTATAYCTGATAATAATTAATATTCATATTCAAAAATGGCTCTTTTTCTTGGAAAGTAATGGCTGTTTTGACCAAGCCAAATTGTTACACATCCATCCACATGTACGAAGTTCACATTTTGTGTGTTTAGCACCTTCCTGTCTCAAGTTATGACTAAAATTAATATTTATTTTTAAAACTATAGGGATTTTCTGGCCATTTCGACTGAGCTACACGTCCCCCCAGCCGCCCATTGTTCTTCCAATCAAATTGTTTTGGCTTCTTCAAACCCCACCCAAAATAGTCAATCTGACCAATCCTGTCATTAACAAACCACACCCACAAAACTCAAACAGGCCACCATACCTTGGACAAACTCCCCCTTCTAAACAGAAGTGCACATTTCAAACATGATGGAGACACGTTTCTTAGAAAAACTCCTTTTTTTCCACTGTAGAATTTATTACAAAAAACTATTTTCTAACAATAAATGTATGATTAAGAAATTTGTTTAACATCTGTTCCTGTTAAAATTAATTAATGCACTTTCACAACCATCTGTCACTGATCAAACTGATCATTTTTTCACAGCTCGTTGGGCCGAAGTTCTTCAGTTTTTTAAAACTGGACTCAACAAGTAGACCATCTTTTCGTTAAAGTTCACCAGCAGAAGTAGTTTTAGACTTTGTGGAGGGGAAGTGGATACAGTACCAGGAGACAGAAGTTGTCGATCCAAACCCAGGTGTCTTCCTTCTTGARGCTGCCTCTCCACGGTGACTGGTAAACCTGCTTTACTGCAGTAACAGTGATGTCTGACACCGCAGCGTTGGTCAGAGCAAAGGGGACGCTGATCCACTGCAAACAGCAAAAAACAGACATTTGCCATATTCATTTTTTACCTTTAATTACCAAATTAAATTTTTAAAAAAGACAGAAAACATCCAAATAAACCTACCAGGCCAACAAAGATACAAAAGAGCTGCACCACATCAGTGTAGGCCACAGAGTACAGTCCTCCAACCAGGGTGTAAAAGATGGCAATGAGTGCAGAGATAACCACCGACATCTTAATGTTGATGTCCACAATGACGCTTAGAGTGGCCCCTAAAGTCAGCAACAGATGGAAGAACATGACCCCCCCGCTGACACAATCTGAAGAACAAGCTTGGATTTTGGTGTTTGTAGAGGAACAAACTCACCGAGGGCCGACAAGATGGCAGCAGACCAGAAAATCTCCCCCATGAGTGCAGGTATGAAGAGAAGCCCCCCCATACGTTTCCCATACAGCTGCTGGAAGGGGTCCAACATGGTGACGTAACCCCTGGAGCGCATGGGTTTGGCGAAAAAAAGACCACCTGGGAAAAAAAGTGAGCATCAAGAACTGAGAGATTCCAAAGAACAAAAAAAAAGAGAACATTTACAAAATTACAAATTCAGATTTCTGTGAGAGTTTGTGTAAAGTTATAGAAGCCCATCTACGACYCAACAAATAAAAACACACCAGGATTAGAGTCACACTAAAGACAATCGTTTGATTTGAGGACAAAAGTTTAGTTTCTGAGTTTAGAAACTCATTTGATCAGTGAACAATTGTTGATTTTCTATTACTGACTAAAAAATAAATGAAAATCCCTCACCAACAACCAGGCTGAGAGCATATCCAAAGGGGGCTTGAGCCCACGCCAAACCATAACCCGGAAGATAGACGTACTCAGCTGTGCCGTTGATGTAGCCCCCTCCAACCCAGGTCGCTGAAAATACAGAGAAAAACARTAAATCAGGGTGAAGATTTGAAAAATGTGCAAGCTTTGTAAAATAAAATAGTCTTTGTGGTTTCAAAAAYAGGTGTCTGTAAGACTTATTTCTTGGAACAAATTTATTTTTGTCCATGTTTTAATGCAACCAAACACAATTATTGTCTGTAAAACAGGCATGAAATGTGTGCTGAACTCCACCTGTCATGGTGAATCCTCCAACAAACAGCCCGATGTCCCTGCCCCCCACCATGATGGTCTCACTGCGGTCGGTGCCCTCCGCCTCCCCGGAGTGCTTGTTCTTCCACGCCGCCCAGATGCCCACGAACAGGATCAGCAGGTAGAAGAAGGCGATGGCCACGAGCCCCTCCACGTGGATGGCCATTGTCGCAGCGGTCTTCTGCTAGGAGCTGGAAGGCATGAAGACCTGGAAAAGCACAGGGGGAAAAAATAAATAAACTGAGATTAAAAAAGGAATAGTTTTACTTTTAAATATTTGATAGGTAAGTTCTATGGGGGTCAAAACTGGTTAATAGGATATAAAGACAGGTATTTGAGCTTTTAAACTCATCTTACTGTGTTTATAAAAAGCACAAAAACGATGATTTAGAACCAGAACCGATTGTTTTAAAGAACTGCCCTGAAAGCCCGTGGATGCTTACTCACAACATAATGCGTAAAAATCCACAATTATTATAAAAAATACATGGAAGTAATAAATGTAAACTAAAGTTAGTGTTTAAGCAGTCAAATTGAGTCCAGTGTGCCGTGCTATTTGATTTATTTTATCCATTCTTTTATTTTTAACAGTTTTTGCTCTGAAAGAATGGTGCGTAATTACGCACGAAAAACATCCGTTTCTATCTACCATCTATCAATCTAGCCACCTTTAAGAACGCGGGATAACTTACCTGGGGTATTCCTACAGTCATGTGGCGCTCTCAGATATAAAAAAAAGGGCGCATAACATTTGTCCCAGTCTCTCTGAGGCGCGTGGACCAGCGTTGGGGGGTCTCCCGTTTTGACTCCCTGACGCTTAAAAGGGGGCCAGATGCCGTCAACGGACCCGAGTCGCGCGTCAGAGACCCTACCCGTCCCTCCTAATGTGCTCCGTGCACAGAAACACGTCACGATGTTCGTGGCTGATCTGATCCGACCGGAGGAGGGTGGAGAGATTCCTTCATCCAATAACGTGGACGTCCTTTTTAATTTTTTWATTTTATTTTTATTTTAACAGTGAATCAAACCTAAACAGTATCACAGCCATGATGGACAATCAATAATTTGTATTCTTTTTCTTTGTACGTCTTGGGGAAACTTTTGGAACATGGTGCGTAATAACCACGGAGCGCGCCCTGGCTTTTTATTTTAATCACACAGACAACCACACAACTTTAGATCGGGGTGGAAACACGTGGAGGAGAATATAAATAAAAATTACAGCAGAAATATATCTCCAATATCTTTTCAAGGAGAAACAATCCATTTTCCTCTCTTCAAAAACACACATTTAAACACTTAGAAGACACTTTAGTGTTGAAGCCACTTCACTTCAGGAAACCTATCAGTGAGCTCCACCTAATGACCTCCTCCGCTGCCTAAAGTCGTTTCATCTGAACTAAACTTGTCAAAACTGGCAGATATCCAATTAGGATGGATCCTGAAGACCGCTCGGAGAGATTTAATGATACCAATTTGACTTTTACGTCTCTCTCTCTCTCTCTCTCTCTCTCTCTCTCTCTCTCTCTCTCTCTCTCTCTCTCGCATCAGGTGTATTTGAACAGCAGCGCCCCCTCGTGGCTAAGTGAGAACATGTTGGCCGCAGGTTTTAGGTGACGTGTTTCTTCTCCAACCGTTGCCAAAAATGACAAATTTTCTTTGTTTATTAGTGTTTAATGTTGCTGTTACTAATTTGAGTGAAACATACTTCGTTTTGGGCGATTTGTCATGTTAGAAAAACACATTTTCAACAACAGGACATTAAAGAAACTCTACTGGATGCAACTCTTTTAACCAGCTGACCAAGGCAAGACGATCACACTAACAAAAAAGACCAAACACACACTCAGTTTTCCACATATTGAGCTTAAATTTGGTGTGGTAGTAGCTGAGAGTGGTTTAAAACATATTACGCTTTAAAACTGTTGCACAATCATGTCTTTTAGCAAAACTTTTCATCATTTACTTTGTGTTAGAGGGAAATCCAACATGTTTATTCTGAGTGAAAACATACTAATCAAAGAGTCTTGATGAATCAAGCTTAAGAGGCTCTATTATCTATTTTACTGATTTCTATTTAAATTCAATAAAACGAATGCAGACAAAGAACCGTAGAGCAGTCAGGAAAGTTTAGTAATTGGATTAAAATTGAATAAATTGTGATTTTATTTGACATCCGTGTAGTGATCCGGTGAAATATTTATGCCAGAAACATAACAAGCAGCTGGTGGACAGATGGCTGGAGCACGACCTCCAGACTCTTCATGTAAACACTGATAAACTTCACATCCATACAGGGTTAAATAACCCAAACCCCATGATAAATACTTTCATTCCTCACTAAGAAATATAGCGATAAAGTGACAACTGTTTTTGCTGGGCTCGAATAAAAACTGTAATAATTCGAATGTTTAGATTAAAGTAAGTGGTTCAAAGCTGAAGGATGCAGGTTTAATGAGCAGCTGTTGCTGGCAGCAAACATCATGTCTGAGAACCGGTGAGTGAAGGAGAAGGAGACAAACAGGCAGCAAGAGAAAGTCTTTTTTTTTTTCAATAAGTTACATGTGAAGCAAACAGAGCTATAATTATATAAAACGATGGAAAGTTTTGCTTTAAAAGCATCTCAGTTTATTGAACTCAATTGTCTAAAATCTAAAGAGGCTTTGATGTAAAATTTAAAACGTCCTGATGCATCTCAGTAATCCAGGTAAAAAAAATTAAAAAGAAAAAAATTGTATAGGTCTTCTGGACGGGTTCTTCTCTAATGAAACGTTTCGTCTCTCCTCCAAGAGACTTCTTCAGTCTGAGAGTTTCAGGCAAAATTCAGGCTTTTAAGCACTGKCTCCATGTGACTGATACTCACATCACATGGCTATTGTTGACATCTAATTAACACCTATCGTTAACAGGGGGTGGAGTGATACTGGCTATTGCAGCGCTGTAGGAGGGGGACAACTGAAAATGGAGGCCTCCACCTCTGTTTAATGATGGACGGTCTTTCTTCACAAAAATGGCTTCTTTTACTCCTCTCTCAAACCAACGTTCCTCTCTATCAAGAATGAGAACATCCTCATCTCTGAAAGAGTGACCGCTGGCCTGTAAATGAGTGAAAACTGCAGAGTTCTGGCCATTAGATGTAGCTCGTCTGTGTTGGGACATTCTTTTGAACAGTGGCTGCTTTGTTTCCCCGATGTATAACTGGTCGCAGTCCTCCTAGGAGGACACAGTGCGGCTATTGCCAGTATCACTCCACCCCCTGTTAACAATAGGTGTTAATTAGGTGTCAACTATAGCCATGTGATGTATCAGTCACATGGAGGCAGTGCTTAAAAGCCTGAATTTTGDCTGAAACTCTCAGACTGAAGAAGTCTCTTGGAGGAGAGACGAAACGTTTCATTAGAGAAGAACCCGTCCAGAAGACCTACACAATTTTTTTCTTTTTGATTTTTTTAAATTTAAAACAATCACTAGTTCTCTTTTAAAATAAACAATACTGCACGTTAATTTAAAAAAAAATTCAGTTTGTTAGTTTTATACTTTGTTTCTTATGATCTCTCATTTTTTTACATAAATTTTAGAGGAAAATTCACTAAAAACGTCACGGTTTGCAGTGAATCTTATTAGCATAAGGTTTCAGAATAAAACATTGATATGGGTTGAAATGACGTGAAAAGGACAAACATCATCAGACAAAACCTGTTTCAAGCTTCAAGTCAGAAACACTCAAAACATCAAAGACTGTAATAAACTTTGTTCAGACTGAACGGATGCAGCAAGTCTGCCTTTGATTCATGAAGGTTGAAGGTAAACTGATACAAGTATTTGGTTCCATAACATCCTCACTGATGAAATAAGACAAAAAAAAAACATTTTTTTTCTTTTATTAACAAATTTGACAAACTAACATCAGATATGAATTATTTCACCACATCTTACAGAAAAGCCAGAAAGTATTTCTATGAGAGCATCTTATATGTCCACTCAGGTCTAAAATGCTTATTTGCTTCAGTCTTAACGATTGTGATGATCTTATGATTGTGRAAAAGCTCTTCAAACACGAGTGAAGCTGAATTAGCTGCAGCACAAACTCGTGAACACAACTATGAAACAGCTCTTTATGCTAAACCGAAAAAGGCAGTTGACTGAAATTCATACATTTATAAATTATTTGCTTTGCYTTACCAAAATAAACATCTAGTTTTGTCCCTTTGCATGTAAACATTTACAGAAAGATTATGTTTCCAACTAAACTAACACAGCTATAAAAACTCACATTAGGAGAAGCTAATGTGGTCATGTTCAAAACCTTACAATTAAAGCAAGAATATTCATAAAAACAAGCATCTTCGTCACAGCAAATTCAATCTCCTCAGTTTTAAATTTGCTTCAGCAGCTTTACTATTCAGTACAACTTAATGAATAATTYCAGATGAATCTGAAGAGCTTGTGCTGTAAAAGCAGTTCTAAAGTTGCCAACTTATATATTTTGTACAACTGTTGGATGTTTGTTTCACTGGTGACACAATCGGATCACTTTTTCACTCAGAAACAACCAGAGCTCATCTAAATACCAGCTTAATGAATTTCAATTCAATTCAATTAAAAAAATACTTTGTTGATCCCAGAGGGAAATTAGGTTATTTTTGTCCAGTGGTGCCTTTGAAAACAAGTAAACTCTTCTTTCCAGAAACCACTTTGGGCTGGTCACACATCATGCTTTCATGTTCTCATTGTTTTGATTTGATCTGGAAAAAAACAGTAAGAAATACTATTATTCAAGAGAAAGGTAGTATTAATCATGGACTGCTGTGTTTCAAAATAACAGCAACATGTACAGATTATACTCAGGGACAACATAAAACAATAAAAACATGACTTTCTATGAATGGTTTAAGTCAATTTAATTCAACTTATTTATAGAGCGCGAAGTCACAATGTCGTCTCAGGGACACAAAAACCAACGAATCTAAAGAAGCCAGCGTTTTGTGTTAAATCTTCATTTGCTGAGCAGCACATTGGCGACAGTGGAGAGGAAAAACTCCCTTTTAACTGGAAGAATTTGTCAAAATCTGACATGGTTTTATTTCAGGATTTAAAAAATTTTGCTGTTCATAAGATGAACAACATCGAATGAGTTTTTTTTCTTTTGTAATCAACTACAGGATTACTGAGAAACGTTTGTCACAGGAAGAGTTCTACAAACTGCACAGCAACATGTGTGTAGTTCACCCACTCACTGAGGTCAAAGGTTTCTACACACTTCCCACAATAAAAACACAACATTCATAAAACAGTCAGTACTCACTGGATTATTTGATCTATGGAAACATTTTAAATGGAAGCAGTGAACAAACACAAAAAGGTAAAAATGACAATAATGATGTTAAACACAGACATAAAACTAAGTAGATGATTTTATCAAACCAAACATGTATTTGACAAAAAATTAAATTAAATAAATTCATCCACTCAGGAAATCCCTTATTATAATATTAGGGGATTCCCCTTTTCATATATATAAGGCTGGAATTCCTGATGACATCACTCCAGACCATAAAACCAAGTTTTCAAACTAAAACTCTTGTAAACAGAACTAGCTTGCTGTCAGTCCAGGTGATAAATTGTTACGTTTCAGCAAACTACAGGTCATTTTAAAGCTTTCGAGATGAGGATTTGTAATTTGTTTCTTTTGGTTTTTAATGGACCAACTTCTAATCAGAAAAATAAAAACTCATCCAGAACTGTTACGCTGCGCGAATGTTGGGATTAGTGCCGCAATCTGGAGATGCAACGTAGAAGTAAGGTTAAACCATTGTGCAGTAAATTCACTATAAATAAAATGTATTAATTAGCTCACAAAATCAGATATATATCTAGAGAAAATATCAGTGTGCAAAGATCATTAACGATCATTATGGCCAGTGGGATTGAGTTATAAACATATAATCTACATTTAATCTTGAGGTAAACTGACCTCTGATTCATTAAATGCTGAATAAAAAACAATCTTCTGCCGAACATCGTATTTGGCATAAATATTAATTGGTTAATYTGTGTTTTAACAGCGTTAAACGCATTTGTTATTGTGGTCTGTAGACTTCTGCATAAACCCTACACAATTAAATAGCTGTGTTCAAGTTGTGAAGTGCTAAAATAATGTGGCCAAGATTAATGTAATCAACATATTTGACACCAGATCAATATTATATTACCAGACCGAGCTGCAACAATCTTAATTTTTTATTATTTTATTGATATTTGAACTTATTTTCATCTAACTGTGATCATTGTTGCACATATACACAAGTGATAAATGGGACTGAAATCTCTGCAACACATTGTTAGTCATTCAGGTCCCACACTCAATGCCCTACAACTGGACCGTGATGCAGAAAGGTCCACGGAGAGTTAGAAAATATTAAGAAGCTAACATTGAAAAACTCCTCTTTGTGACTCATTTTGCCAGAAAGTGTCACCTATGATCCTCATTACAGGCTAACATGTACAATCAATCTATTTTTATTTAACACATCTTCGTGTCTCATCTAAACTACTCCTCAGTTATCCCCTAAAGTCTGCCTGTTATTGTGTGCTAACATGTAAGTATCACCTCCATCATGGTATACGTCTGAGCTCCAGCCTCACTAACAAACAGCCGCCCGCGGTGGCTTAATTTGACACGAGAACAGCTGCTCAGAAAAATCTGACAGATTGAGTCGTTAAATAAATAAATAAACTTTCCCAACCCAGGGTTTACCTATGCTAATCAGCTGCATAACTTTGTTGTTCATCCTCACTTTCGGAGCCAAACGAAGCAGAGAAAGCTGTGATTAAAAGTATTTGAGTTGTGCTGAGGTGGTTAATTATAATGTTTATAAATACTGTCGGCAGCTCTCATCCARGGCTGTTTTCTTTAACAAAGTGCTGCGTGGACTTTCAGATTGATTTACACTTTTATGACGAAACGGTTTGCTGTTATGAGCAAACTGTATATTTAGGAGGAGTTGCAGAGATTTGTGTTGCTGCTGCAGCTCCTCATAAACAACAGTAATGTTGAGGTGATGCCAGGCTGAAGAAGCTGCTGTATTATGTTACACATCTAATGCCCCAAAAGGACTAAATAGTGACTGTGTGTGCATCAGGGGGTTATGGTGCATCAAACTTACATGGACACATCAAAAAATATTAAATACTAATAAAATATATGAACTGTGTGATTAGCTAACCACTGCACTGACACTCTCACCAAATTAAATCTCATACCTTGTAACCAGTCGACACCTTCCTGTAACCCCTCTCCTTTTAGAGCATCAGTGGCACTGAAAAATAGTGAAAAAAAAACATTTGTCTTGAAAGTGTAAAGTATAACCCCACCCCCAGGAAAATTCTAAAAAAATCCCAACAAAGTGGGCGGTGCAAAAAGATACAGAGGGCCACAGTCAAGGGCTGTGCCCAAAACAACAGACCGGGTCCTCCGGAGGACCCAGACTCCCCTGTCGCGGCGGGCCGGGTCCTTGGTAGACCGGGAAGACCGGAAAAAAAGAGGRTGTGAATTTGGACGGTCTAYCCTCCCCTCCTTACCCCGGCGTACGTCATGTCACCTAGCAATTGTGACGACGCTAAACAAGCAAACGTAAATCAAAATTAGAAAATTATCAATATATTAGCATTAATAATATCACAAAACTATAAAATTAACTTAAAAGTATCATTTGAAGAACTAATTGACCCGCTGTAGGTTCATGTTTATTTCACGTTTTTTATGATGAAAAAATAATATTTAAAAACATGTCCATACAAATGATATAAGTATTAGAATTACAACCGCTAATTTTTTAAAATTTTTATATCACCATATTTTTATTTAAAATGTATTCTTTTCTCTCGCTTCGTCCGCCATTACTAGCATAAAAAATCTCCGGTCGGGCCGCAATGCATTATGGGATATGCTGGGCCGGGAAGGATCCATCAGACCTGTCCTTCGATTCGGGCCAAAGGAAGGACGTATTTGTCGGCCGCATCGGAGGAGTCTTCGGTTTTGGACGTCCTTCGTCGCAGCGCTGTGARGTATGCYGCCGACAAATTCGACCTTCGGAGGACCCCGCCCGCCGTTTTGGACACAGCCAAGAATAAGTACCGTTTTAACCAATAGGAAAATTCAACTGCAGTAGCCACTGTTCAACTCATAGAGGGCAGCACTGTGATGCTTTTAGACTAAATATCGCAAAATTAAACATCTTTACAAGAAAATATAAGGATATTATCCTAAAAGCCCAATTTAGACAGTTTATCTGAACAAAAAAAGTTGATTTGTGGTTTAGTTACTGCTCTGATTAAGACCCTGTCACACTATAATGTTTTAGACAACTAATGCAAACTTGTGAAAAAAAAAAATTCCACTACTTATAAAAGTTAAATAGTTGATCAATTTATTGGCATTACAGCATGTACATGCCTAAAACAGGAGTTCCATTTGATTTTCTTAATTCCATCTTCAACGTAGATGTAACCAAACTTTCCATAAATTGGCAAAAGTTGTCTAAAACGTCATTGCGAGACAGGGCCTTTACAGGTTACARGCAAAATCCCCTTCAAGACTTCCTTGAGTCAGTCTCAGAAGGTTAGACTTTTTTTTTTCAATTTTGAACATGTACCAAAAAAATTTGCAATAAATTTTCTCTCAAAAAGGCACAAAGTTGTCTAGAGCATTACACGCGTCTCTCAGTTTGGTTTTCTGTACATTCTAAAATGGTAGACCTGTATTCTAAAACCTGCCTTGTGTCTTTATTTCAAACGTCCAGCAGAATAAATCATAAATACCAAGGCAGGTACGATGCGGGCACACTTTAGTTCTTTTTCAAAATCTGTAAAGACTCTGAAAGTTGTGTTGTGTTTCCTCTTTTTCAGATCTTTTTCTGTGCAGTAAATGTTTCGCTAATGCAATTTGTTTTCACACACTAAGTCTTTGACACCTTTTGCCAAAAAAAAATTATGCTCCAATTACTTGGTTACAGCAGAAACCTCAAAATCTCCCAAGAAAATAAATAAATAAATAAAATAAATGTCACTACATGAAGCTGTAAAAGTGTTTGTGTAAGTTTGTACCAGATGTGCCAAGGTTTGTCTTTGATGTTCTCCAAACAGAGAAGCTGTGAAACTTTGACAGAAGACAGAGAATCTCTGACGTCCATCTTGTTAGCAAAGAACAGGATGGGGATCCTCCGATGTTTAATATCTGCAGCACAAAACAGCACAAGTTATATAATGTGTTAATATTAGAAAGATTTTTCAAGTCAAATAATTACTAAAACTATTCTGAGACTAAAATAGATGACAAAAACGATACATAACTAACTCTATAGCATTGATTTAAAATTGTCTAGAATAAAACAAACGGCAAAGCACTTTACTTATAAATAAAATCACACTATGAAGCCTGAAAAACACAGCGGGTAGCAAGAAAATCAATGAAGCCAAACTGACCAGGATGGTTTAGTAATGTGTCCAYTTCTTCTTTYGCCACAACCATTCTCAGTTTGTCTGCACTGTCTATGACAAAAATGATAGCCTGGCCTTCCCTGAGAAGAGATTAGAGGCATTAATGTTCAAATCAGCACAATAAAATAGCAAAAACCTCTGATACATGGTCCTCATTCACCCCAGTGACAATTCAGGACATCACAGAACTGTTGGGTCGAATGAAAATGTCCTCTAGCCCCCTTGATGTCCTGCCCTCTTCTCTTTTTAAAGATATMTTTAACTGTATTGGCCCAAGTGTTGTAAAACTGATAAATTACTCGCTTGATTCTGGTTCTGTACCCCACTGCTTCTACTATTTTATTTATTTATTTTTTTGCTTCAAACTACCATTTTTATCAAAAATCCTGGAGAAGGTGGTAGCTGAACAATTGATTTGCTTTTTGGAGGAAAATGACATTATGGACATTTTTCAGTCTGGATTTCGCAAATTGCACTCTACAGAAACAGCTTTATTAAAGGTTTCATGTGACTTGTTGATGGCAGCTGACTCTGGAAACTACACTGTACTGGTTTTATTGGACTTCAGCGTTTGACACTGTGGATCACTCTGTTCTTATCAACAGACTGAGATAATTTTGGTATTTCTGGCTCTGTGTTAAACTGGTTCATCTCTTATTTATCTGAACGGTCTTTTACTGTTTTTATGAATCAGGTTTACTCTGATGTTGCACCGCTGTCTTGTGGGGTACCCCAAGGTTCAGTTTTGGGTCCAATCCTCTTTTTATTGTACCTGTACCCTTTAGGAGGTATTTTAAAATGTTACAGTAATGTGTCCTGCCATCTGTATGCTGATGACATACAGTTGTATTGTTCCTTTCGACCCTCTGAGTTCTTCAAACTATCTGAACTCATTAACTGTCTGTCAGAAGTCAAAACATGGCTGAACAACAACTACCTGCAGTTAAATGCAAACAAGACTGAAACTCTTATTATCGCCCCTGATGATAAAATCCCTGTAATCAGGCAGCACCTTGCTTTTTTAACTCCTTCAGTGAAAAATAGTCTCAGAAATCTGGGTGTTGTCTTTGATAGTTCTATGTCTTTTGACAGCCATTGTAAAATTTTAGTTTGTAACTGTTTTTATCATTTAAGGAACATTTCAAAGCTGAGATCTTTTGTGTACAGAAGGAGCTAGAGATGGTTGTTCACGCTTTTATTTCTTCTCGTTTAGATTKCTSCAACAGTCTTTTTACATGTCTAAACAAATCCTCGTTGACTCGGCTTCAGTCTGTGCAGAACGCTGCAGCGAGGTTATTAACAAAGACCCACAGSAGAGCCCACATTACACCTGGTTTAGCCTCTCTGCACTGGCTCCCTGTGACTTTGAGGAGTCATTTTAAAATTTTAGTTTTAACTTTCAGAGCACTTCATGGTCAGGCCCCCAAATACATKCTGGACCTTCTGAAGCCTCCCTGTCCATCCAGGACTTTGAGGTCTTCTAATCAAATGCTGCTGGTGGTCCCTCGAACCCATTATAAAACCAGTGGAGACAAAGCTTTTCAGGTGGTGGTCCCGAGGCTCTGGAACACTCTCCCTCTGTCCCTTCGCTGCTCAGATTCTACTGACTCTTTTAAGAAACATCTGAAGACATTTTTATTCAGACAGGCTTTTAGTTAAGTGTTTTTTATTGTGTTTTAATTGTTGTTTTTATATCTGTGATCTGTTTTATTGTTTTTAATTAMTTTTGCTTTCTGTGAAGCACTTTGTGATGTTTGTCTGTGAAAAGGTGCTATAGAAATAAAGTTTACTTACTTACTAAAATATGTGTTTTTTAAACCCATGTTCACTTACTTGTAGTAATGCTCCCAAAGGTTTCTGTATCTGCCTTGACCAGACATGTCAAAGACTGTGAAGGAAAGACTAAAAAAAGACAAGGATCTTGAGCAATTTTGATCATACTGAAAATATTAAATGTATCAATTCTGTCATAGTATATCACTCTGTGAAATACCCTAAGTGGTTAATAATAATAGGCAGAAAAGATGGCAACACATTTAGATCATGGCTGAATTAAACATTTCTATTCAGTCCTTATTAWGTTCTAATGAGTGGCTACCTGGATGTCTTGAACTTCTCTACACTGAAGCCAATCGTTGGAACGATATCTTGTACCTGGGCCTGAAAGAAAAAGAAAGTAGATAATATTTTCACAAGTCGCTTAAAAAGGAGCCAACATTAGCCGCTTAGATTTATGAACATTTGTGAACTTGTCTCTAGTTAATCTTAAGGCAAATATTACTTARATGACACAGTATAATTACAGAATAGCATTAGTATTACATAAAAAAGTAATGAGAAAAGCAAAACACTAACAATCTATAATAAACAAYCAAAATGCATAAATGCAACAGCGTTAATAGAAGGAAGACTTGCATTWGAAGGCTTGAGTTTGTTGATTATGGTGGTTTTTCCACTGTTGTCCAGACCAAGACACAACACGTTCACCTCCTTCTTTAACCCCAGCCATCCAACCAGCTTGTCAAACAGTCCCATTGGCTAACCAACAACCATCAGCTGGGAATCTTATCTTCAACAAACAGATGAGAAAATGTTAGAAAATCACTGCAGGTGAAGCAGAACTCATGATCTGTATGGCCAGGCAAGAAATGCTTGTTAATGTCACTATCATAGGGAGAAATTCACAGGTGGTCAGGTTATCACTGAGGGTGATAACCTGACATTTTAGTTTATCATTATTTTTGTTAATATTTCTTCTTWGTGGATTCACATTTCAAATAAAAACATCCGTATAACAATTAACTGAGAACCCTTTAAAATGTTTCACGTTTTACCTGAAAACTGACACAACAGCTCAAAACTAACCTAAATGCACCAACCCGTTAACTTTAAGCTAACTGGGTTTGTTAGCGCTTAGCAGATTTGAACGTGTTTATGCTAGCAGCTATTTAATCTCTCCCACTCCGTTAGCAAGCCTTTGCTAACATTTAGCTGCTGTTAAGTTTATTACTTCATATTTCAAAACAAAAGTAAAGAACAATGATTATGCGGCGCCGAATATTACAAGCTTTACATGACAGTCAGCAATTAAATAAAGCAAATAAATGCGGACGTGCTGCGTGTGTTACGACACTGTTAGCCCGGTCATAATATCGCTAAGGTTAGCTCGTATTATCCCACAGCAGGCTGTTAAGTAGAGCAGTAATTTACCTGGAATTGGAGCTGCGATGACTTGTTGCACGTCACGGTTTCTCAAGTTGGTAATTTTACTTTCGGTGTTAAATCGGTTTTTCATTCATTTCTCCGATGCTAGGTCACGCTACTCACCAAACAAAATTKGTTATTTACAATATGTTGCTAAGAGACCGGCCGCTAGCAAATGCTAGCCATGTTCATTAGAGTTCAGTCGGATGTGATTGGTCGGCTTGTTGTTAGGCAACGAGAGGGACCGCTGTGCTGTGATTGGTTGTAAGGATTTAAAGGGACATTAACGTTGGTAAAGCGCTGAAAGTTCATCATTGCTTCAAAGGAGCTAAACTTTTTTGTAATTTAAAAAAAATCATTAGGTTTTCAGGTTTATGGCAGTATTTTGTGCAGAAAATGTATACATTATGAAGAAAGAGAAATTCATAAGACAGTCTATAGGCTTGGAAAAATAATGGGTAGATAAGGGATGATTTAAACCTTTTCTTTTGCACTGTAAATTCACAACTTGAAAATATAAAATTTTTGCTAAAAACTGAAACTGAAAAGACATTTGGCACTTTTTATACTTTACATTAATTGAGGCTACTTATGTTTTATATATAACATTTCACAAGTACCTCACCTGATATTGCTTTATGGTCAGAAAGTCCTTGACTGTTAAATGACTTTGTTCATGTGCCTCATAAGAGAGATGCATTGGTGTGTATGAGAAATAACCAGACTACTACGAAGACAAATAAAACCTAAAGGTTGACTGAGAAGATCAGAATATTCTGAAAGATGCCAAAGTTAAGAAGAAAAAGATAAAGCATTAAAATATAGTTGTTTATTAAGGAACAAACTCATTGAATAAAACATACAACTTCCACAAGACGTTTTTCGTACAGTACATACTGCATTATTATGAGAAGACAACATACATTTTGCTCTAAAAAACAAAAGAAAATTGACATTCACTGGTCTTCAGATCAAAAAAACACACTTAGATTGTTCATTTTTATTCCTAATTTTTGGCAAATCGTTCGACAAATCAGCATGAAATATTAAAACTGCATGATTACTCATGCATCACCACATAATTTAACCACACCACCATCTTCCCTGGTTATGAGGTAACAGACTTAAAACCTGTCAGAGTCAATAGAAACCGTTGGATTGTCATTTGGAAAGAGAAGAGGTACTGGTGAACACTTGAATCGACACTAGAGAGAKAGACTCCTAATTCAAGTGAATTGCTAATATTTGCTGAGTTAATAAAAAGACGGCGTTCTGGCCGATGCTGACYGAGGTTGGTTGTTGTGGAGGCTGTCCATCGGATGATACAATAAGATGATAAGTGCATGTTGACCAGACTGCGTGAAGTCTAGRTGTAGGATCGCTCTGATGTGAGCAGCATGTTATTCCGGCAACACCCAACAGTCTGGTGTTTGTGCAGTTGGTTGGACGATGATGCTGAGGAGCTCCAGCTCAGTGTAAACAGTCTGACTCTGTGCGAACAGGTCTCACACTTGAAAGCCGCTCTGCTGGATGTGATGGAGCTGCAGCCGAAGGGACTGTATGCTGCTTATGATTCGCCTCTGGTGGCCAATCAAACACACTCCGATGCGTTTGATGTCGCTGGAAAAAAAAAAAAGATGAAGATTTATTCAGTTGGAAAAAGCAACCATCAGATTTTAAAGAAAAAACACTAATTGTAAAAACTGAAAACAGAAGTGATGACCTCATGAAAGAAAAACAAAACACTCTGCTGGAGTAAACGATGTCATACTGAGTATTTGTTTACTACTAACATTAAGTTTGAAATAGTTCAAGACAATAAATTAATCGCTAAAACCATCAGCGTTAATTATGTTTTATAAAAGGAGCAGAGCCATAAAAACATTTCAAATTAAAGGCCTAGCTTTCCTCGCCATTTCATCTGAAGGAAGAATTCCAGCTACAACCAAACCAAGCTTTAATTGAATATCTGTAAAAATGACTGAGTTATAACAGTTTTTGTACTAGATGCTGTTAATTAGTTGTGGAGGCAGTTAGTGACAGTGTACATTAAGAACATTTAGTCCCTCGCCCACATTTCCTAAAACATATTGCCCCTGCCAAACGGGCTCCTTCTCCACCACAAATTCAACACATATTGACAATTTCTCTTTGATATGCACAATTAAAATATGTCTCTTCCTAATTTAAAAATATTTGCATGTTAAATTGAACAAATAGTTCATCATTAAATTAAACTAGAATTTAGAGCAAACATGGAACAAAAGACAACCTGACATTTTCTGGACAAAAAGCCTACAGAACACAGTTTTATGCATTGTCTTTTCCTTTGATATGTGTTTTTCTACTTTTGATAGCAGCTCTCAGAATAATTTAGCTGTACTCACTCTATGCTCATGGTTGAAATGGAATCCAGCGTTGTGTATCCTCCTGCCAGGAAGTTGCTCTTATACTGGCTCATTTTGATGGAGTCAAGCCAGTCTCCAATGGAGATGAAGAGGGGATAGTCCGGCATGTCCTCAGGGGAGTCAGGGAAGCTGAGGTGACAAACAGAATCCCATCTGATACAGAAATTCATGTTGCTATAAACTGAAGTAGTATGCACAGTGGGGTATTATGAAATATATATGTTTGAATCCTACTTAAATCTGTTGTCATAATAATTGATTTTATTGTTTTCCAGGTTGTTTATTATTTCTGTGTATTTTTGTTCAGCTCATTCAAGAGTTTAGTGCTGGAATTTTATCTTTACAAACATTTTCCCCACATTTACTAATTTAGCTTTTAGGTAGCCTTTTGAAAAGTCAGCTTTTAGCTAACCTTTTACTACTTTAGWTTTTAGGTAGGCTTTTCATAAGTCAGCTTTTAGCTAACCTTTTGCTAATTTAGCTAACCTTTTACTACTTTAGATTTTAGGTAGGCTTTTCATAAGTCAGCTTTTAGCTAACCTTTTACTAATTTAGCTAACCTTTTACTACTTTAGCTTGTAGGTAGCCTTTTGATTAGTCAGCTTTCAGCTAACCTTTAGGTACTTGAGCTAACATTTACTACTTTTGCGTTTAGGTAGCCTTTTGATAAGTCAGCTTTAGCTAACCTTTTGCTACTTTAACTAATATTTACTACTTTAGCATTTAGGTAGCCTTTTGATAAGTCAGCTTTCAGCTAACCTTTAGCTACTTTAACTAATATTTACTACTTTAGCATTTAGGTAGCCTTTTGATAAGTCCGCTTTAGCTAACCTTTTGCTACTTTAGCTAACATTTACTACTTTCCATTTAGGTAGCCTTTGAAACGTCAGCTTTTAGGTAACCTTTTACAACTTTAG